TACGCCTACCACAAGATATTATGAAATGGGAGCGGGTGGTACACCTACCAAAAGATATAATAAAATGGGAGCGGGTGGTACGCCTACCACGAGATAGAATGAAATGGGAGCGGGTGGTACGCCCGCAACAAGAGGAAACTGAAAGTGAAAGTTGCCTTTATTTTCTTCATTTGTGATAGAAGTTATAGTGATAGCTTCCTTATTATTACTTGTTATTTCTTTTAACTGCTATCCCCGAAGCATGTTCCCCTTCCCCAGCTTTAACTGCTTATTACTTGTTTACTTTTCCGCCATATATTATATAACTGTATAGGTTTATCTGGAGTCCGGTCCTAGCCTCGTCACTACCTCGCCGGGGTTAGGCCAGACAGTTACCAGCACATGGGGCCGGTTGTGCTAATACCACGCTCTGTGCTCTTTTGCACGGATCCAGGTTTTGGACTACAGCCGTAGCGCGGGAGCCAGCCTTCAGTCCAGTGAGACACTGAGGTAGCCTTGTAGGCATTCGCAGGCCTGGCATCTCCTCTATCTTTTATTTCCGCCTGTTATCTTATATATTCGAGACAAAAAGTTTATATTTTCTTTCAAACGGTTGTATTTAGCATTCTTAGAAGTTCGTGAGTAATGTGACACCAGTTCTTGGGTAGAGGCATATGTTGATTCTCACATTATTGTTCAGTTTTCTTTAAATTTAACTCTTCCACATATTTATTTAATTCCGCCGCTTTCATGCTATCGCTGATCATTGTTAAAAGAAGTAATGTTAACGAAGTAAGCAATTAAGGATTTGCTTGCCTAGCTCTCATTAGTAGGCGCCATCACGACTCCCGAGGGTGGGAAATCCGGGTCGTGACACTTCCTTTATAAGTAGGATTAAAAACTCTTCTAATATAATGCACAAAATGAGGGTTAGAAGGAAAACTATAGGGTAAGCACATAACAGTAACCATTTTTGCCAATTCTTCACGGTCTTTATTTGGATCATAATATAAAATGTCACCGGGAATTAAATTTGAACCTGTACTAGGGTTAACCGTAGTATCTACACTTGTCCCCTCTTGCGCAACTTGCATTTGTAAAAATCTAGCTTTATCTCTAGGGTGTGTCTTTATGTGTCTAGTCAAACTACTCGTACCGCTACGGTCTCCAGTAAATTTATGAACTAGTTGAGACCCATAAGTTTTACATTTAGCCTTATTTTGTTCTCTTAGTTGAGTAAAAAAGTGCCAAACAAGAGATGTTTCGGGCCGTTTAGCAGGTTGTCTATTAAAAGTAGGGGTTACTACAGGAGGGTCAGGCGGGGCATCATTTGGGTTATTAACAGGACTAGTATGTGTATCACCTAAATTCGGTTGCGTTTCATCTAAATCATCATTTTCCTCATCATTTTCGAAGATAGTTTCATTAGGATAAAGAGCATTCATAACTTCTTCATTTAATTGTTGTCCTAGTGCAACATCATGGCAAAATTGACTATCGGAAAATCGAAAACAAGGATTATCACTATCAAGAATAATAGGTGGAGGAGGACGGGTAACAGGTCTGGGTCGGGGAGCTAGGGGAAGAGTAGTAGTTTGGCTACTAGATTCACCAATTTTAGATTTTCCCTAACCCTTACCACCAAAAAAAAATTCAAAGAAAATGCCATATTAATTATAATTATACTAAATAAAACTAACAAAACTATAATATTAAAACTTAAGAGTTGGAACGAGTTTACCGAATTGACGAACAACTTCTTGAAAATTGAATATCGTTGAAGACTTGAATACTT